CTCAGAAAGTAACCAACTGTGACTAGTAATAATCAGATATTTAGAGATTAGAAATGCATGTGCAAACATCTTAATGTCAATTGCATTAAAAATGAATTTTTCTGTATGAAACTGTGTATTTTAATAATGAAATGGAGATTTTTTAAAGGTTAAAAATCATTTAATTTTATGTCTTATAGGGTTTATACTGAGTAAAATATTGTATAACTGTAATAATTCAACTGTAAATCTAAAGATTTATATCCAATTCTGAAAAAGATGCATCTTAGCTCAGAAAATTGTTACTGAATATGTCAATGCTGTTGTAATGAAATGCTTCTTCAAAGTATGTGGTTATTAAATAAATAATAACCTGAAAAAAATAATGTTTTAAGAAAGAAAGAAAAAAATACAGCTTCTTGAACCCTACCCCAGTTGCAGGTGCGAAGAGGACTCAAAACTACAAGTCCCAGTGCTTCCTGGTGATCCTGGTGTGCCAGTCCTGGTCCCAGGCTATGCAGTAGCAATAAAGACCCACACCCACAGCCCAGTCTCTTTCCAGATCACTTAACCCAGAAGCACAGAGCAGAAGAGTGTCAAATCCAAGACCTTTAATTTACAGACACCAAGGCTGAGGCCAGGCACGTGGGTGGCAACACCTTGTCTAAGATCCCACAGGGATGGAGGGACACAGAGACAGACCTGAGGCTGACCATAGCCAGAGCAGCGAAAGCACTGCAGGTTTTCCCAACAGACACGCCAGACCAGAGATCTTTATATTCTGTTCCCTGAATAACCACACTTGGGTAAAGCCAAGCTGCTCTGAGATGGGGCTCTAATCAGAACCCACCTTTTAACCTGGTGGCACATGCCAAAACTGGAAAGTATAGACCACAAAGATATAGTTGGCCTTCATCCCTCTTTCTCCATGAATAAAAGGCTGGTCTCAGCTATAAAGAGCAGGGAACTATGGAGGAAGGATTACTCCTAGCAGGGCCAGGGAAATCCCGTTTTGTGTCTCTTTTGTATATTACATTGGTTTGTACTTGTCTACTATTATTGTCATATAATCTTCTCATTTTAGCAGACTCTCTGAAGTTAAAACTTCCAGGTTACAGATACTTTACATTTAGGTTTAAATTGGTTGTTTCCTGATGTCATAGGCTGAGTCACCTTCACCTTGTCAGTAATCATCTCTCTCTGTT